GATGTTTACTAACCACACACAAAATTTTTTAAATAACGTAAGTCTGATCAAATCAGACCAGTTTACTTCTGCTTTGAACTCTGCCTAGGTGCTGAAGTTGCAATTAATCCTATCATGAGAGATTAAACTTTCCCAATGTACATAAATCTCGCTCATTATGGAGAATTTGGACATTTTAGAAAATAAGGAAGTTAATCACACATGGGGAACACTTCAGTGGAAACCTCTGTTACGTTTCTGCTGTGCTCCTCACCAATCTGATTCCTGGGCAGAGAATTTTTGCTTTGTTTTGCCTCGTACATAATGAACATGTAAGACTCAAAGTGGAATATTATTATAAACAACATCCATCAAAAAATCATTTTTTAGAAATGCTAAAGTGACCAAAATCTACCCTTCTCAAATACAAAGTCAGTCCTCCCCTGTGTCTTATGCAGAAAATGGGGCTCTTAAGCTTACATGCAGTGTTCAAACGTTATGTATTTCTGCAGATGTTAAGGGAAGCCAAGGAGAAAGAGAAGCAGAGACTGGCCCAGCAGCTCACGGTGGAGAGAACCGCACACTACGGGCTGCTATTCGACGAATATCAAGGCTTGTCACACCTGGAAGCCCTGGAAATTCTGTCTAATGAAAGTGAAAGCAAGGTATGTCTGCACTGGTTATTGGAAACAGCATGTTTAGTAATGTGTTTTCTTAAACATGAAAGAAACTGGAAAATCTGCCATTAGAATGTCTCATTATTTCTGTACTCAGGCTATAAATACTGTACAGCTAGATGGCCCCTCAAGCTCCATATAATTTCCTCTCTGAGGCAGGAAAGGGCGAGGGGGATGGCAAGAAACGGGTTCATGGACACAAAACAGCTAGTTAGGAAATATAAGTTCTATTGATGTACAGTTGAAGTAGGCACCTACAATTAACATTAATTTTCTGCGTGTTATCAAATGACTAGAAGAGAGGAGATCAAATGTCCTCAACTCAAAGATATTACGTTTTATAATGACGAATATGCTAATTATTCTGACTTAATCATCACACATGGTACACAGGTACTGATACTCAATTCTGTACCCCATAAATATGTATAATCAATTACGTTTCAATAAAAAAAAATTTCCTCTCTGACCTGTGCAAAGCTATTACCCTACCCAGCCCCAAGAGGGCCAGCACAATAGGAGTCACCACTGCCCCCACCTCATGGTGTAAAAGGCTGCTCAGAAACTTGGCTGTCAGGCTTCCGGCCCTCTGCTTCCCTTTGGTGACATAGCACCCAGATCAGAGATGCCGTGTCAGCCCCCATCTTCATGCCTGCCCACGGAAAACAACTGATTTTTTTTTTGGACTGCAGGGTTTCGATGTAATTTGTTATATGGGTTGTATGGTTATTTATTCAGCCTTCTTGTCAGAATGCCTGGGTCACAGAGGGTGGGATTATCCTACTGAGGGTTAAAGTTCTATTTGGGAATGCTCCCATACAGAAACCTGGGCCAACCCGCCTACCCACACTCCCCTACTCTGACCCCAAGAAAACAAAACAGGAATAACAGAAGGCAGCAGGGTTTGGGGATTTTTTTTTTCTTAAAGGATCTACAGTGTGTGTGTGTGTGTGTGTGTGTGTGTGTGTGTGTGTGTGTTTGCACTGAGCAAGCACTTACATGACACTGTAATAGTCACTTTTCTAAATATTGTAGAACTGTTAACTCATTTACTTGTTTATATGGCTGTCTTGTGTGGCTGCCAGGCTGCCTGTACGCTGAGGTGGTTTCCCACTGGAGGCCACAGGCCAGTACCCTCTGGGTCTCCTGTGAGGGAGGGGCCGTGGGTCCCTGGTGACATTCACTGAGGACATTCACTCGGACAGGAAGCTGAACTTGGAAGTGAGCCTTAGAATGAAGAAGTAATTTTTGACTCCCTGTAGGCCTTGTCCCCTTCTGTTTGGACTTTGAGGCGGCCAAGCCTTTCTCGACGTCTCCTTAATCAGGGAAAGACAGCCTCTGCCATGTCACAGACTGCCAAGACCCAAACAGGATGGAGACATCCTGCCCCACCCAGATCATCCAGTGACATTTTACTTCTGTGTTTATTTCCTTTTTTGTTATCCATGAGCCTTCAATGAAAGTCTTGTGGTTAAAACTGTTCAAAGGTAATTTTCAAATAAGGCAAAATTGTGAATCTCATACAGAATCAAAATGAACACACGTTAAAGAATTTACTTAGCTTATTCATTAAATGAGAGAACCAGGCAGATGTTATAACTGGTTTAAAAGAAAAGCCAAAGAAGCACAAATTTATATGGAATAAAGGAATGTTGACATGAATGTGAAAATAGACACACACCTGGTTTTCCCACACCAGGGGAGTCTGTCCCTCCACTGGACAGGATCCATTCACATGTCTATAGAAAAGAATGATTTTGCATTGCTATCATCTGTCTGCAATTTACAGAGTTGTAAAATTGCTCCCATAGATTCAGAATCCAATCATCTGGTAAGGTGTACTCTAGAAAATGCAGTTTTCCACTAAAGCACAAATTTTTCCCTACAAAAGCTGGATCTGGAGTCAGACTTCATATGATTAGACACCACTCAGTAGCTGTATGATTTTGGAACCCTCTTACCTCAACCACCATATCTGTGAAATGGGAATAATCATAAAACCTACCTCATAGGATTACAAAAGAATTAAATGAGATAATCCTTGTGAAGCTAGTGGCAGCATGCCTAATACATAAGAAGCACTCAGTAAATGTCAGCTGCCACTTCATACATATGTACTTATATGTATAATGTTGATGACATTTCATTTTCATATGCATTCTTCTGTTGTACATATTTGTTGTTCTTATTAAAAACATTACAGGAGCAGCACAGCCCCCTGTAAAAACACTGCAAGCTATCACGGTGGTAGAGAGAGATTCCATCTGACTGGCTCCATCACATGTCTCAGCTGTGAAACAGCCCCAGGTCCCTGGGAAAGAGCCCCAAAGGACTTGTACTGCTAGAAAAGAGGGTTGGTCCTTGGAGGGGTCCATTGGTCCTTGGAGGGGTCCATTTCTGTCTGTTTATACACTGCTTCCCCAAGCTCTGCTTTCTGTCCCCAGCCTGGAAATTTTTGTGGTATTCATAGTAAGGAATGCAGAATTTTTTCTTATGATGTAATGATGGCTGCCAGGAACTATAGTAAAGAGTTCTAAAATTGTGTGGGTCAGAAACCATGGAAGTTATTCTTCACTCCTAAAGCAGACCAAGAATGGGGTGCCCGGTCAGCTAGCAACTTTCTCGCATTTAAGGATTTAGGAACCAGGCTCTCTCCCTCTTGTGGCCTCACTAGACCCAGCCTAATGTCCATAGGCCTCTGGGAGAATATAGACCCATAGTGGAGTTGCAGATTTAACAAGTAAAAGTATAGGATGACTAGCTCAATTTTAATTTTAGACAATGAATACCTTTTACTATAAATATGTCCCATGCAATATTTGGGGCACACACTTATACTAAGAAAATATTTGTTGTTTTTCTGAAATTCAAAGTTAGCTAGGAGTCCTATATTTAATCTGGCAACCCTGCACATACCAAATATGTGAAAGTTAAAGAACTTTTGAAACAAACTGTTGAAGAAAATGTATTCTGTCCTCTTGCAAATAGACTTTCATAATGACCTGGAAGACCAGGTTTTCATTTAGAATTCTCAGACTCCCCAAATCTCCTCACTGCCTTCCAGCCTGCCCCCCCCCCATCCTCTGTGTCTCACTTCACCAAACTTTATGTGCACACAGGAGGATGCCGTAATTCAAGCTCCACCCTCACCTCCTGCAAATAGCTATTCTTTGGCCATAACATCCCTTGGGCTGGGAATGCATGTGCCAATGGTGTGGTCCCACATAAGGAGCATAGCCTGCAGAAGAGGCCCTGCAGGCCATGGAAGGGAACCTTCAGTAACTTGGAGAGTTCTAGAAAGGGGGTGCGGGCTCTGGAGGGCACATATCTGGACCCTGCAGACTCCCCTGTGTCCAGGTCTAAAGGCAGTATTTGATTTCACCATCCTCTCGGGTCTTATGATCTTCTGAATTGTATCAGCATAGAGAGAGAAAGAGTGTAGAGGGGACACTCTGATTTTTTAAAAGCCTTGTCCTAGAAATGATGCACATCATCTCTGCTGACATTCCATTGACTAAAACTCAGACACGGTGATGGAAATATAAGGAATGATTATCTTTACTATTCTACTAGATTGATTCTGGGATGGCAACGGGCAAACAGGAATGGCAATATGGTGTTTGATAAATGTTACAGAAAAACTAGTCATTTTCATTGCCATTATACTCAATAGTTAACAAAAATAGTAAACAAAAATCTTCAAACTGGCACCCCATACCTCCTTTCAAGGAATAGATTTATAAGGCAGACTGTCTACCTTTGTGTTGTGGATGGCACTTAGCACAGTCCCAAGCATCTAGTCAGCATTCCACAAATATTTACTGAGGAGTGTGTGGTTATTTATTTATTATTGGATTGAACTAAAGATGCCGTGCACATCACCTGGGCATAACGGATTGCACTAAAAGAACACAAAAGAGATGCTGTGGTGGAAAGATTCTGACCAAAGAGTCCTTCACTGAAAAGAACCCCTCCCAGGGGATGCCCAAACATAAAACTGCACTGCATTCCCTCCAGGAGGATTGCCACCCACAAGAAGACATGGGAAACCAGAATGTTCCACAGGTCTGCTTACATTTTCGCTAAGCATGGTATTCAAACACATTTTTCAATAATTACCTTTTTTTTTTTTTTTTACTGTTAGAAAACACATCAGAAGCATAGGAATATGATGTGCACACATCTAGGACCCTGAGACCTTAACATGAGTGTGTGAACTGAAATGAAGACTCTGAGAAGGTCAGGGCAAAAAGGAGGTGCACTTGCTTCCTCCTGCTGAACCCCATGGAGGCTAATGGGTTTCGTGTTGATGACTTCCTGCCAAGCTTCCTCCCAGCGCCTCGATACCAGTTGCATTATGCCAGGGTGATGTGCATTAGCAACCTGTAGGAAAATTGTGTCCTGGAATCCTGGATGCCCTCTCTCACTCTGTCGCATATCCCGATGTGCTCACTGACTACCAGAATGAACAGTAAAACATATTCCAAAGAGGATGGCAGCACCTCTGCCGGCTGTCCCTGACCTACAGAATGAACAAACAAAAACCTTTACTACTGTACAGTTGTCCGTCACTTTTTATATGGTTCACCATGCCTTTTGACCGTTTTGGAAATTCAGATTAATCTTCAGAGGCTGACTGGCCATCTGTACATGTAATTTTTAAGTGAGAACAGAGGACAGTTTTAAAAGAGTGGTTCTGAAGACACTCATTAAAAATGAGAAAACTGAGGCTCAGAGAGCTCATGTAACTTGCTCAGTGTTGCACAGTTGATAGACGGTAGAGCCCACATTCAACCCAGCATTACCTCCCAAACCACGAGGCACCTCGGCCCTGGGAAAACTGGGGACAGCCGTACGTAA